AGCTGCATTTGGCAACTGCGAAGCCGGTCTCAGGACTGTAGTTACTTTAGAACTGGACATCACTGCAGCAGCCGCTGCACCTGGGGAACAAACAGAGTGTGTTAAAACACTGGCACCCAAATGACTCCATTATGACTGCAGAGACAGACTCTGATGTTAGCTGGTATGTATTTCAGTTTGAATGTATTTCATATGTATGTCAGTTCAGGTGACATTGGTTTAAAAGTAAGGCTTGCAACAAATATACATAAGGTTCACAAAAGTATGTGGGTGTTGTGGTTTAACCTGGCAGGCAGCTAAAACACAGTGGTTTGCTCTCCCCCACAATAGTGGGATGGGGCAAGGAATTAAAAAAAAAAAACCAAAAAACTCGTGGGTTGAAATAAAGACAGTTTAATATGACAGAAAAGGAAAACAATAAATAATAATAAATAATAAAAGAATATACCAAACAAGTGATGCACAGCCCAATGGCTCACCACCTGCAGACCACCGATGCCCAGCTAGTTCCTGAGCTGTGGTCTAAATCCCTGGCCAGTTTCCCCCAAGTTCTATACTAAGCATGACATCATATGACATGGACTATCCCTTTGCCCAGTTTGGGCAGCTGTCCTGGCAGTGACACCCCTTCCCCCCCCCAGTTCTTGTGCACCCCCAGCCTCCTCGCTGGCAGGGCAGTTTGAGAAGCTGAAAAGTCCCTGACTTGGTGTAAACATTGCCCAGCAACAACCAGACATCAGTGTGTTATCAACAGTATTCTCACCCTAAATCCAAAACACAGCTCTATACTCGCTACCAGGAAGAAAATTAACTCTATCCCAGCCAAAACCAGGATAGTGAGAAAGGGTAGGTATTATTTTAAACAAATTGGCTTTATTGATACTTCTTACTCCCCTATAATGAACCTCATATTGCAAATCCAATTTTTTCTATTCCAAGCTATGGAAGTCAGTAGAAATAATTTAAACAGTTTGATCACTGGGCTAATGTGTAAATAAATCACTTGATACCAACAATAATCTCCCTGGACCTGACCAAGTTCTGAAGACAAATACGTAAGCAATAAAAGAAAAACAAAACAAAACCCCAACCAACTTTGAAAGCTACAACAGCATAGGACTTTGGTTAATTTGTCTGCTGTTGGCTGTCTCCTCATCAAAAGAAATTGCTGTCAAAGGCAAATAGCCTTGAAACCATTTGGTGGATTAGACTGCATAGGTTCTGTAGACGTCCCTAAATGAAATTACCACCTTGAAAGGTAATGTTCAAGCTGAGAGAATAAAAGCAGGAAGAAAAAAAATGAAACAAACAAAAAACCTGATAATATAAAGTCTGTGGCAGCTGTCCCACAAGAATCTAGTGAACAAAGCTACATTTTACATCAGCTACAAATAAAGCTACACAGTCCTTCCACCTCTCTAGCTGATTTTTACTCCAGTAAAATTTTGGGTCTCTGCTCATATCCATTTATTTTTCCTGAGTGACCAAATAACATCAAATATGAAGAGAAATAAAAACATAAAGGGTACTTGGAATTCAGATCAGTTTCAAGTTGAACTAGAAACCCAACCCATAAGTTTTTTGGAAGTAAAACTGCAGTCAGAAATCAGTATTGAGCACAGGGCTTCTTTTAAGGGGCTGATCTCCTGTTTTGTGAGCCGTAGCCACCAAAATCCTAGGAGACAAGAACCTGTAGTCAGCACCAGCATTTAACTCAAGGGCAAATGCAAATGCACACAATATGATACGTTATCATGCACAAAAATGCACAAGTGAGAACAAAAATATGCCTCACAACTGCTCGGGTGCCACTGTCATAGGTGAACAATGCTTGCTACCAAGAACGTACATGACATTTTGCAGGACAGGTCGGTCTATACCGGTGTATATTTTGCCTTGAAAGCATTCACTGTTGTAACAGCACAGAACTAGAATAACAGACGTGCTGGTATCTGCTAGCATTTTACACACTGTCACGCAGTCCTGCCCTAAACGGCTGAAGCCAACGTAATGCCTAAAAGGCCAGCAGCCACCTGTTTATGCTAGCAGTTTTAACAGCTGGAGTATTAGCTGCGTTAGCAGCGAGGAGAATTCTTAGAGGTGAAGGCTAGATGCACCTCCCCTGAGAGGCTCTGAACAGAGGGCAGAGACAGCACAGCTAGATCTTTACCCCGCGGTAGGTGAGAAGCTCCAATGTGTAGCGGAGGCCCAGGAGCACTACTTCTGATGATGGACATCTGCACATTGGTAGCCATGATGTGATGCAAGTTACTAGGGTGCCCCTGCAGAGAGAAAGAAATAACAAAACCCAAAATAAACCATGAGCTATGTTGACAAGAATTAACAGCCACGCTAACAGTATTACCATACCCAAGTCCTAAAGGCAGAAAAGAGATTTTGTAGAAATCCTTGGTGTACAAAGGTTGCACACTTTACAAGTAGAGGGGATAAAGAGACAGATGTTTCTACAGAGATACAGTTATAGAACCTGCTGACATTGTGTGTGGAAGATGTAAATTTTTCTCTGTTTCACAGAGGTATTTTTCTGGTTGGCACAAGAGTGCACAGAGTCAGCCAGCAGTCACTCACATGCCAGCCAGAGAGATGGCCCTTCTGCCATCGTGGCATTTAAGGCATAGATTCACACCACCTCTCCAGTGAAGTCAAGAGAATAGTGGGAACCTGGCAAGTGCTGCAACAAATTAATTCTATTTTCTAATAATTCTGGACTTCCCAAAAATATTAATAAAGATAAAAATCCACTGAAACTGCTGCACATCCTTAGCCAGCCCAACTCAAATCTACCTAAAGGCACTTTACATCAAAACCCTGAAACTTCAGAGGCTTAGTGATGAGTGTTCTGGCAAAGTAGTTTCAAATCACAAGGACCGGTTCTGCAGCCAAAATTAGAGGGAAGAACAATTTCGAAAGCATTGTCTACACCTCCCTCCATCAAATTTTGTCACTAGTGGTTTAATAAGAATACACTGCAAAACCATGAACCGTTCACCAGTCTCTTTTGATCTGCTCCCAGGAGAGCTGAAGAACTGCAGTGATGAACCCCAGCAGTTTGTCTACACTAGAAATTCTCCAAGCGATACTGGAAGAGCAGGAGCTTTTAAGGGAAGACTCAGCTGCGCAGCAGCTTTTGGATATGGCTTTGTTATCACAGCCCTCTGCTACGTCAGTTGGATGATTACAACAAATCGGCAGCTTTCTAAAGAGCTAGTGATAACCGAGTCTGAAGTTTAATGCTCCATGCAGAACTGATCCAATAACGAGTGGCCTTCCCTCCTGCCACAAGAGTCCACCTCAGTTGTATCAATATTAGTATTGATCTGACCATGCAGTGCGCTGGAAGAGGAAAAAAAAAAAAGCCCAAACCCAGACCTGTTGCCCACTGATTGTTGCCACTGGAATTGTTGGAGCCTGTGGTATGTTGCTTTCCATGGTCACAGTAACTTGCCCAGGAACTTTTGTGGGAGCCGAGAGAGTAGAGGGTGGAGCAGGAGCAATCGGCCGGCTGGGCATGGTGGGCTTCAAGGGAGGCTACAAGAAATACAAAAGACAGAAATGTTGGCAACTCCAAACGAGAGCTCAATGTTGAAGCAGAAATCGTGTTTGGGGGTTAAAGCCTGGAGAGAAAGTCAGCTTTGCACAAGGGTAAGTACGGTTAAGTATTTGGAGGGGAAGAACATTGGTCATTTAGAGCTATTCCATTTTCAGCTGGGACAAAGAAAGGGCATCTTTTGAACTGGAAATATGCAGCTTCTAATGTACAGCATGAGTCAGAAGCGGAACCTGTTAGGGTTATGGTATTCCCCTACAGACACTGGGCATTAACAGTTAAATTGATATCCTCATCCTATCATGCAGAGAAAAGATTTCAGAAACTGACTGAAATCACTCTTAAGAAGTAAACAAAAAACATCCCCCTCAGAAATAATGCTGTGATACTATAAAGTCCTCAGTGTATCACACGGAACAGCTAAACCCACGAGGCAGTGCAGAGCCAGTAGAAGCACGCAAGGAAAGCTTAAGAACCAAAAGCAGGGAAGTTTTTGGTGCAATTTATTTTTGCTCAGCTTGTAATAGAGATTGTATTTTTTTTCCCCCTCTATGAATCGTGAACCTCCTCATTACCTTCATAAGTCCGTCTGAAAAGGAAAGTGGGACAGCTGGAGTCAAATGTGCTGGTGGTGCTGTCACTGTCACCGGGGCACCAGACTGGACAGGGTGGTGCTGTGTCAACATCTGAACCTGTGGATATGGCCGAACCACCACTGGTTCCTGCTTTTCTTCTCGAGGTTGGATAGAGCTGCCGGGACCGATGTGCTCTCTAGGAGCAACTTCTGAGTCACGACTAGATTCATCACTCACTAGTGAAAAAAAGAAAAAGGGAACTCAGGAAAAAGGTAAAAAAAGTTAACAAGTTCATGTTGGTCACCCATCAGGTCAGAGATGTGATGTCAGAAACAGTTGAAATAAGAGAAATTCACCCTCATAATGAAACACATTCCAAAGATGAAAACTCTAGGAACTCTGGCACTGCTTCTGCCAGTTCCCCTCAGAACTGACGGGCCTTGTAATGTCGGGCAACCTGGGGTCATCTCTGAGAAGCCCACCTTCTTCAAACAAAGATTGGCTAATTTTACTTTCAAGTGAGAAATACATAATTATCTAAGTAATTGCCATAAAGTTCCACATCAAACAGGTAGTGTTAAAAACTCTTTAATGCCTTATGTGTCTGAATATCAAGCTGAAAAACACGTGTAAACCCTCCCGAAAATGAAGCCGC